TGTCACTCGTCGGACTACGCTGGGTGGCCACAAGAGTAAAGCTTGCAGCAGGAGGAGGAGAAAACCGCTGGACGAGGAGAACCGCGGGAGGAGAAAACGCGGGGCCTATCTATGTTCGGATCCGTCAGCCATCACTCGATATCGCGGTCCCTTCCCGCCACGTGGATCATCAAGACGAAAGGACGAAGAAGGAGAGAGAGAGAGAGAGAGAGAGAGAGAGAGAGAGAGAGAGAGAGAGAGAGAGAGAGAGGAGGGAGAGGTAGAGTAGAAGAGAAGAGAAAGGTAAGGGAGGAAGAGGAAAGAGGAAAGAGCGTCGACCATGGCGGGGCGCATCAACGGTGCACAAAGCCTCCTGCTACGCTCCCGTTCTCTCTCCTCCTCCTCCTTCTCCTCCTCCTCCTCGTCCTCCTCCTCTACTGTCTCAGCGCTTGTCTTATTGCTAGCGCTCTCTCATTTCTTGATGACGTCAGCCGGTGATGTCAGCATCTTCCACTCCGCCCAGCCTACCGATCCTAATCCCTGCGCATCTTTCCCTTGCGGTCCTGTTGGTAGCTGCATTCCACTCAAGGGAGAGAAAAATGGCTTTACGTGCGAGTGTGATTTCGGCTTTCAACAAGAAGACAAGGAGGGACCTTGCGTAACTATTGATTTGTGCGGATTTTACCCTTGCGGTCCTGTTGGCTCCTGTGTTCCAGATAAGGGCGGGATAAATTATACGTGCCTGTGTGATGACGGCTTTCACCAATTAGACAAGACGGGACCTTGCGAAGACATTGATGAGTGCGCGGGGTCTGATAACCCGTGCGCACCTGGGAATTGCAGCAATACACTAGGGGATTACATGTGCGAATGTCCGTCGGGATACGTGGAGGGCGTCGGGCATGGTGAGCGTGCGTGCATCCGAGATGTTCACGCTTGTAAAGGCGAGCCTTGTGGTCCCGCTGGCAGGTGCGTGCCGGCGGCAGAGGGGGGATACAGCTGCGACTGTGTGCCGGGATTTGCCCCCGCGAAGGGGACCGCCGGTCCTTGTCTTGAAATTGAGGACCCGTGCATTGGCAACCCTTGCGGATCTGGAGGGACGTGTGAGAGGGTGCTTGGCGGGGGATATCGCTGCTGTTGTTCGCCGGGATATACCCTGCCGGAAATGTTCAAGCATTTTGGCGGGAAATGTGTGAAGGTAAAGAACTAATCATCAAGCTATTTGGCGGGAAGTGTGTGAAGGTAGAGTAGAGAACTCACCATCAAGCGTTTTGGCGGGAAGTGTGTGAAGGTAGAGAAGTGTTCTTGTTCACCGGGGGATATAGTCTGCCGGAAAGGTGCAAGCGTTTTGGCGGGAAATGTTTGAAGGTAGATGACTAAATCATCGATCGTTTTGGCGGGAAGTGTGGGAAGGTAGAGAAACTAATCTGCAGCAGCTGGACGATGGGGTTTTGTATCAGTGAGTGGGTGGGGGACTAGTGATTGATTGATTGATTGATTGATTGATTGATCGGTGATTTTTTGATTGATTGGAGTGATGGATGGTTGATGATTAGTGAAGTGGGGATTGATTGATCGACCGATCGAGTGGTAATATGAGAAGAAGAAGGTAAGCAATTGCCAAAATTGAAATTGCTCTTCACACGCAATAGAATAGCTTTTCGTTTCATACATGCGTGTACACCGCTGATGTCGCGCACGCTTTCCCCTACATGTCTCAACAGGGTGCGGCCAGGTCTCATCAGGAGGCTTCCCACACACCCTTTGCCTCTCGGCCCACCGTTCCCTACCGCCCAGAGCGACGAGAAGGTGCGGGAGAGGTGATTAGATTGGGAGAGGGAGGAGGAAAGGAGAAGAGGTGAGATGTGATTAGATTGTACGTAGAGTTGATGGGGGGTGTGAACCGAGAGAGATGCGACGAGAAGGGAAGGGAGAAGGAGAAAAGGGGAGGGAGAAGAAGATAGTTTTTCAGCAGCTAGTATGGTGGGAAGGAGGTACGTGGTCGGATTTTCTTGGCGGGAGTAGAGGTTATCATATGTATATATTCGAAACTCCGACGAAACAGTTTGTCACAGTCCCTGGTTTGTTGTCCTCTTCTCCCTCTCTCTCTGCCTACGGTTTACCGGGCAGTTCTGTTGACGATGTACTTATACATACATATAGATATATATATACATATATATTAATTGCTCTTCTTTTCCTCGATAAGGACTGTGATGGCGATGCTCAAGCTTTTTGTCGGGAAGTGGCAGAAAAAGGTGGGCAACTGATCAGCCTGATGATGATGATGGGATGTGATCTCGTCAGTCGATTACAGGAATTGATTAAGTGAGTGATCGATCGTTGATTGGCTGCGTACCAAGTGGCGGTATCACTTGGTAATTGATGAATCTGCAGGTTGTTTGTGACCAGATTCGTGATCTGTTCATTTGATGGATTCATCAAGCGATGAAACCACGAGGAGGAGGGGAGGGGAGGGGAAGATTCGGAGAAACTACCACTATTAAGACGGGGATTTGGGAATTCGCCGTCGATTTGTATTTTACTATGTTAAGCAGTTATCGGGAATTGCCAGAGAGAAGCTGATAGGGAGGGGGAGGGAACCGATCAGCTCTTGATTGATTGATTGATTGATCGATGGGCATGAGGAAATATAGTTAGTCGTCAAGATTGTTGCTGGACTTGAAGATATAATCAGGAGGCAAAGAGGATTGCATGAAGCGTCTGAATCTGGACGTGTTTTATGCAGAGATGCCGGTTGGTGAATTGAAATTATGGTATCATATCAGGAGGAGGAAAGACGGACCTCAAGATATAATCGGAAGCGGTTTTTTTGATAAAGCTTCTTTGTCGATGGGTTACTACCTAGCTCTGTATTTGACCACAAAAGCGACCAGATTCGGTCGAACAATTTATGTATTTGACCGCAAAAGCGAACCAGATTCATTCGTAAAGTTCTGAATTGGTCTAGGTGAGGGTAGGAAGGCATTATGGTAGGTGGCTATGACTCTGGCGTGGGTTATGATGAAGCAAGGAAGCTTCTTCCTCGCAGGGCTACTCAGTTCTGCATTTGACTGCAAAAGGCGACCAGATGCAGTCCGATATAAGTCAGAGGGTTTGACATGCCATGAGTTGTCCGCTTTATTGTTTTTTTTTTTTTTTTGGAAGGGCCATGACCTTGAGATGTCTTGGCTTTTTTTTTTGCTTTTTTTTTTTATTTTATTTTTAAACAGATGATGTCTTCCCTGAACTGACCGTAATTCAGAACGTTTTTTTTTTTTTTTTTTTTTTTTCCTGTACATCTGATTTGCGAGCGAATTCGAGCTCGAGCCTGTATTTCAATACTTTGTCTGTTCTGTCCTGGAGAAAGGCGACCAGATTCGCCCGTCGTTGAACGTCAGAACTGTTTTATTCTGTGCATCTGATTTGCAAGTGAATTCGAACTTGAGCCTGTATTTCAAAAGTTTGTGGTCTTACCAGCCGAGCTAGGCTCGTCGATATAAGTTTGTCTGTTCTGTCCTGGCGAAAGGCGACCAGATGCGCCCGTCCTTGAACGTCCGACCCTGCGTGGCTCTGTTTTTTTGTTGTTATTTTTTCCCTTCTCTTCGTTAGTCTGGGCCTCTCTGCACCACTCACCAAATGCGCAAAAAATGAGAACGAATTTTCCGCTAGAACATGGGAAGATACATCGCCATGTGCGTCGTCTTTTGTGCATGCGGTGAGAGGTGGAGTCAGCCCGTACGGGCATGGTCGACATGGTCCCATACCCGAAACGATGTATAGCTGCAGGAAACCTTGCCACGTGTTGGCTGTTTTATAGCACAGAACGTCCAGGGAAGGTTCACAGGAAATTTCGTGTGGTTGGGATGGTCCCATGACCGAAACGATGTATAGCTGCAGGAAACCTTGCCACGCGTTGGCTGTTTTATATCACAGAACGTTCAGAGAAGGTTCACGGCAGCTTCACGGAAAAGAACATGACGATGGTGTGGACCGTGTTGGCTATGCAAGTTGTGGACATGGTTTTGTATTTGAGGCAAGTGTGTTCTATAAATAGATATGCTTTCTATCCTAGTTGGCATGGGCCCTGTCAGCAAGGGGCACAGGTTTCGCGGGTGCCCTTACTGGACTGCCAGTCCCATTTCACCTGTCCCTGTGGTGTCTGCTCTTACCAGCACCACTAACACTGGAGGGGGCGTTTAAAAAAAAAAAAGTGCGGTATGCCTTCATGAGCGGCATGCATTTTTCTTTCCATCATCCCCTCGCGCCCGGAATTCGGATTTGAAGCACGTGGTTTTTGTGGGGCTGCCGCAAAAAAATGACTCGCTGTCTGTGTGTGTTGTCTTAAAAGACCCCAGATTCTCTCTCTCATGCCCTTCACAAATCATCACAAGCCAACCATAAGGAAAAACTTTAGATAGGCAATATAATAGAAAATGCAAGGTTGTGTGGTTGAGCGCCAAGTGCCCACACACCCGTCTGACGCCAAAGCAAAGCGGCACACTTGCACATATACATTTGTATACATCTATATTTCAAACCATAAGGGGATGGAGGGCAGAAGGCAACTTACCAAAGACGGAATTAGGGTTGGTGACAAGACTGATGGTTGAGGTGCTAATTTCCTTCTGATTACAAGCCTATAAGATCCCTACTGAGTGCTGGATTTTTCTGATGATGATGCATTCTGATGCTGGCATGATCGGGGAATTTTTTCAGAGGTTGTTTTTGAATGATTTCGTTGTTATGTTTCGTTGTTATGATTTTGCTTTGTTTAAAATCTGATTCATGAGATCTTAGGTGTTTTCTGGATGTAATTGATCCCTAATCTGAAATTTGTTTTTTCTGATGCTGAGCAAGATCCCTAATATGAAATTTGTTTTTTCTGAGCAGGATTCTTAATGTTAAATTCGTATTCTCTGAGCAAGATTCCTAATCTGAAATTCGTAATCAGAGAATGATTACTCAATTTTGAATTACAAAGGGATACAAATTGATTTTCTCAAAGGGGAATCGATGTCCTATGTTTATCCATCTTTGATCTAATTCTAAATCTGACGTAGTACTCCATATTTGTGCGTGTAAGTTTGGGCTCTTTTTTGAATTCGATATTTGATGTCACTTGTTTGAAGGTTTTTAAAAAAAATGGTTACAATCGAGTCTTAAGTTGTGATATTGTAGGATTTGGGCTCATAGGTGCTGATTGAATTATCTCCTTCAGGGTTGGAGCCCCTCCCTGCGAGGGTTATACAAGGTGGGAGGTGTGATCCTTGAGAGGGTAGGGACGGTATTGTGGGTTTTGTTCTCCTTTGGGCCAGACTGATCTGGAATGGATCAGCTACGACGGTTGGGAGGCTGGACAAGGTGCCGTGCTGTTTTCAGCAAAATGAGAAGTTGAGAGATGTTTCACTTGGACGGGGTGGGACACGAGGGAAGGGGAATCTTCAGCTCTGCAGGGGCATGCTCTAGGGGGTATTGCATGCTGCTGAGGGAGCAGGAGTGAAGTAGCGAACTGGGGCTGGGAGGCGAAGGGGCGCCTTCCAGCGGAGGCAGCAAAAGGACATGAGTTTTTTTTGGGGGGGGGGAAGAAGTAAGTCGCTCGGTTTCTTGTGAGCTCTTTTACATCCAGCTAAGACGTGAGTAGGCCCAGGAATTTCCATGGGGAAAGAAGTAGTTCCCTTCCCGTCCTCTCTCTCCCTGTGGGAATAATAGGTGTTGACTGCCTATTTAGGTTATGATTCTTGCGTGTGTTTCTGTGTTCTTTGAATTCTTTTTTATTTTTGAGGTTTCAACTGGAAAAATCGGCATAATGTTGGTGCTGGTTGCAGTTGATTGTGCTTGCGGTGATTGTTGTAGAAATTTCGGCAGCTCTTCCCGTAGAGAAAGTGTTATTTCAAGATTTATACAAAGCTAAGTTCAAAATTTAAAATGACTTTGACTTCTCAAGGTCTAATTTTGTCTAACTCCCTGAATTAGCAAGACTTTGGGCAGCACTCATTTTTAAAAAGGAGGTTTTTCATATTTTTACTAAGCAAAAAAGTCATAAAAACTGGACCCTAAAACAAACAAAATCTAACTAACTCCTTGGTTTTGTAAAAATTTCGGCAACGCTTCCCGTAGAGAAAGTGGCTTACCAAGATTTATACAAGACCAAGTATAATAAAAAAAAATTCAAAAAATGCAGAAATTGACTTAAGTAAAAAAATAACTTAGCTCAGAAAATGCAGGAATAAAACTACCTCCTATGACTCTAGCACGTGGCGAGCAACTAAAGCAACTACCTATCAACTGAAACTAAGACTAAACAGTAGTCGCACTCAGTCACATGCAAGTCAAACCACAAAGGTAAGTATTCTCACCATCGCAAGTTAATTTATTAAACAATAGTTCATAGTCTCTTAATGATTTATCCCTTTATACCCAGCTTACATAGGGCATAAAGCTAGACCACCCAAACTTATGAAACATGTCTAACTCAACCATGAAGTATACACAAACACAGAGCACAACAACTTTTCTCTTCTTTGGGCATATGACTAGGTCACCCTAGTCGCCCTAAACTGTTTAAGTATCCAAGTTTTATATAATTATCTTCACTTAGTCTTTTGAGGTAAGATATAACTGAATCGATCATCTTTAGCTCAAGATTCAGTCTGCCCCTTCGTACCACAGGTTTATTCTTAATTAGTGCTCTCTTCGGTTGGTGATAAGCTATAGTCAGACCACCAAACTTATGAAACTCTGTCTGACTAGCCTGTTCATAAGTAGGATAGTCATAAAGTATAGTCAAGTTATAGCCTTCTGCTTCCAGCATGTGCGTGGTGTTGGAGCAAGACCACCCAAACTTATGGAACATGTCTTGGTCCTCAACCTGATTCATTCTCTTAAAGTCAAAACAGGAAGAGGCTGAACCACCCAAACTTATGGAACATGCTCAAACCTCCCCGTTTAGAACCAAAAAGAAAATGAAAAAAATTCAAAGTAAACAAGGCGACCAAGCTACCCAAACTTATGAAACATGCTTGGTCCCTGAAAAGTCAATCACAGGCAGCCCTCGCAAGTCAGAGCAACCAGACCACCCAAACTTATGGAACATGTTTGATTCTCTACGCAATTCAAAATAAACATAGCACTGGGTCTCCCCAAACTTATGGAGACTTGCCCAGCCTTTGATAGACCCAGTTAAACAAGCAATACTATCTTTCTCTCATCCGCCCCCAGATGCAATCCCACATTCCGCTTTTAGTCAATACAACAGAAACAAAAACTGAATTTGCACAATCATTCTTTTATCAAGTCTGTTTTATCCTACAAGTCAAACTGAAAGTCAAAGAAGGGATGTAGACAATATACTCAATCAACCATAGCAAGAAGTACAGGTAGGGGCTATACTTGGGTTTATAGAAGGAGATGAAAGGTTACCTCTCAGTTCCCTGCCTCCAGAACTCCTCCTGAGTTCTGGCAGAGCTCTCGCAATCGGTGGGCTGACTCCCCACAGAGTCTTGCTGCGGTCCTACGGGTTGCAATCCTGTCTGCCGCCTTCCTCTTAGAACTCGTTTAGACTTAGAGTAAGAAAGGAAGAAGTAGGGGTTTCAGACTCTCGAGGTACAAGAGGGGGACATACTAAACTTTCAGGAGAGGGCCTTGTAATCTTCATTCGCCTGAGGGCCCCGCAATAGCAGTCAGAATGTACAACAAAAATGGTCAAAACATAGAGTCGATGATCATATTGGAGCCGAACTGTTGAACGTTGATTCCCTGACAACCATCCAAATCGCAGCAATAGACCCTCACTTTTCAACAATCGCAGTCCCTTCACAGTGTTTGCGGCCCTTAAGTATAATGACCACCAATAAGTCCACAAACTCACGACTCGTTTTCGACTACTGCAGTTGACAGGCTGAACAACGCATCAGTCCGCAGACAACTCTCGAAGCCGCGACTTACTTGCAACTAGCTCGTTCAGCGGTCTAGGTCACACATTAGTCAACAACTAAACCTGCAACTTCGTTGTTGCCTGATGCTGTTTCCAACTGACGAGATGAGTGGTACGCCAGCCAACAGGTAAATCTCCACCTTGCAGCCCAATCCGCAACTCCTTTGGTCAACAGGTCACGCAACCCATCGGCCACC